AAAACAAACAATATGATATTGCTGAAGTGATATGGAAATTTTTAACTGACACTGATAATCATTATGTTTTTGCTTAATTTCACCGAATGAAAGATCGATGTGTGGCCCAAATTTAATAGTGACTTGTTAATAGTGAAGATGTCACTGGCCAGTACTTTGAGAATCCTTTTAAGCAGTAAACGAACAAATGAAATCCCTTTTCCTCCACCATGGATAATCATCCAATGTAATCAATTTCATTATTGTACTGCCCAGACTTTAGGGAATACATAAAGTTTCATCCCTGGTCTGCCACACACAGACCAGGGAGTATGTAACACACAGAGGCTTAAGTATGTAAGGCGATGACTCAAAAACTGTTTGACGGATCTTTTTCAAACGTTGCACTGGCCTTGTATGTATGGGGTCCTAAAAATAATTACATTTTGAGACTGATCGCTCCAAAACTGAACCAGCACCGCATAATGATACCAAAAAAAGAGCAGTTTTGACACTTGATGCTGTTAAGACGATAACTCAAAAAGTTTGACGGATCATTTTCAAACTTTTCAGACACATCAGAACTTTTCAGAACTGGAACTGATTAAATTGTGAGACAGACTGACCCAAAATTGAACTGATGCTGCGTAGTGGCAGCAAAGGGGAGGGTGAAAGCAGATGACATTTGACCTTGTAAATATGATAAGTCAAAAAGTATTTGATGGATTTTATAGAGGCTTTCCTGTAAGCCTCAGAATGGATGGTCAAGTGTTCTCAACGCGTAGTTTTAAATAACCAATGTCCAAGTGGTCTCTGCAATTGGGTGATGTTCCCGTTTATTCCATACCTTCGGTTGGCATAAAAGGACCTTTTGCTTTTACATACAACACTTGTGCTGTATAATGTGCTGGCGGCGTGCTGTCTGTGCCATGCTCCCTTACAGGTGCTATGCTAAGAACCGTGTTCCCGCCACCATCCACACCGTCCAATTGGAAAACACCTATTTATACCCACCTGTCCTCACGTGATCAGACCACTCCATGCACTACACCCCCCAGTGGCCAAAATCCATAATGCACCCCAAATTTATAAATGGCTCCAACAGATCTTATTACTGCTTTGCAAAAACATTATATGGATGAAGGTCCACACCTGGTTTCATTTTCAGACAAATTGCCCCAAAAATGAAGCAGTAGCACTATGTATATTGCAACAAAGGAAGGAAACGGCAGCTGCAGAAAAGGCTTGGGGTCAGATTTACTAATGTTTTGCTGCAGCGCAAACCCTCATTTGGCATTAAAATAGTACTGTCAGGATTACTAAAAACACGTAATGAAAAATTACCAGTGGAAAGGCTTTAACACAGTTAATTTTGCAGCTGGACATATTGCATATGCATTTGTAGGGATTTCCTTTAAAAGCACAACATTTGGAGGAGGAGAGTATTTAAGTGAATCACGCAACGTGATTTACTAAGGTTTGCGGTGCAAAAATTGCACCATTATTTAATGCCAAAGAAGCATGTCTTATTTTGCACTTGACATGGCTGTCATAATCGCCACTAGGAGGAGGTGTCGCCAAGAGAAAACATGCGTAAACCTACGTTTAGCGCTGGGGGGTATGACCGAAAATTTGTATCATGGTATTTTTTAAGATTCATGCTGTTTCACGGTATTTCACTATTTTATTTATTTTTTATTTTTTTGAAGTTCACCCATAGAGCGGCAAGCGTTTACATCAAAACACATTCCACGTGTTACTGCAAGAAACGTGAGATTCCACGGTCACGGAGACAGCTGACATACTGTATAAGTGAGGCTGGTTAACAAGGCAAAGATGCGTGGTGGACCATGTCAAGATGTGTACAGGTATATCCCACAGTTTTAATTTTGGGAAAAAGGAAAAACTACTACTAAAAATATACTTTGCTCTATCAGATATTGAATCACTGATTCTCAACCCAGCCCTCAGGGATCCCCAGACTGTATACATTTTAGCTCCCTCTCAGCTTCCAGCGCACTAGAAATAAACAATCATGAAAACTGTGTACTTGCTACAGAGTATTGGACTGCCTTGGTGTCTCCATTAAGTTTGAGAAAGTGTATTAAATAACACTAATACTTATATGTGTTTTATGTGATCCACATTCTTTTCAGTATTGTTTATATGTTTTTGTTTTACCCGTCGTTCGAAAATATTCCCAGTTAATTGTTCATGGCCAACCAAATAACCAAAACTACGAATGACAAATTTGTGAATCTGGAGGGGTGACTCTATATGTATTTTTGCATTTATGTTAGTCGTGAATGTTGTAAACATGTACTCTTTGCTGTGGAATGTGTGTATTTCATTAGCATGTAAATATGAGTGCTGTGTCAATTTGTTGGCTTCTCTGAAAGTTTTTTTAGTTCGTAACACTGATACCTCTGATGAAACTGTACTGTTGTACCATTTGTTAGGATCATTTTCCTTTCGCACTCAACAACTAACACAGGATAAAGGAAATCTGATCATTCATTTTTGGGGTTTGTTACAGACATTACTAGTAAATGGAAATAGCTGTAACATAGCTGCAGCTGTAAAATAGCTGTGAGATAGCTATAAAGAAAGGATGGTGGACCACCAAATGGAAATAGACCAAAGCTAAGGACACCTGCCTCTAATGCCTGATTACTATGGGCTGGGGGCTTTAAATTTTTCACCGGTGTGAGGCATTAAATAATTTGGCTATGCTGAGAAAGACATTTAAAACCTTCTTTTACTGAGAGAAAAAAAGATAAGAGCAGAGTAGTGTTACGTAGTGATAACACATTTTGCAGAACACGTGGGAGCAGCACGGGAGTAGTGTGGGAGTAGCATGTGAGTAGCTTGGGAGTATCATGGGAGTAGCACAGGAGTAGCATGAATGCATTTTCTGAAGATTTATGAAATGTTTCTGTGAACTGCCTGCAAAAATTCTGCAGACCACCCCCCACCCATTTATGACCTTAGCTGTACAGCACTGTTGCTTAAAAATACCTTATGAAGCAAAAACCAGCAGGACTCTACTTTTGTCATTATGACAGTTGCAGCACTGGTGCAAGCATATATTCAGCTATCCAGCACTCCTACTCTTTACTATTTAATATTGGGCTCGGTTGGTGATCATGGCTTTTGTGTTTCCAAGTAGTAAAGTTAGACAAAGGGAACCCAGCCTCAGACCAACTAAGACTAGGAAACTAAGTATCAATAGCAAAAACAAACTGAAAAATTCTGTGCCGTTGCAATAATTTATGACTCACTTTTGTCCTGCCTAAGAAAAAAGTTTCAGACTAGTAACTCTAATTACTGGAAATCTAGTGGCTCCAGAAGCATACCTGCCTGCCTCTCTAAATGCATTGAAAATGTAGTGAAATCTGCAACCTCATGAGAATGCCCTAAGCACTTCTCTTCCCAAATGGAATGCAAACATTACTGGAGCCCCAGCAGCTCATACTGTACGCTTTCCCCATCTTAGGAACTCACAGGCTGAGGTATATCATTTTGGCAGAGCAACTGAACTGATGGCTGACATGTAGGTATAGTCATAGGCATATAACAAAACACGAGATCAGGTGAGCAAGAAGACATTCAGGAAGCTGCCCTCAGGCTTTTTACAATGCTCAGATCGCACCCCATCTCATACATAAGTCTTTTATTTTTATTTTATCCATCCATCTTCTATACCCATTTGTCCTGTGGAGGGTTCTGGGGGTCTGGAGCCTATCCTGGAAGCTACGATCGCAAGGCAGGGAATAACTCAGGATGGGGTGCCAACCCATTGCAGGGGTGTAAGTATACAATTCGCAATAAATTTAGCCATGTATAAAAATCAGGGACCATATCATTGACTTGGTTAGATGACGGATGGACAGATGATGGACACATGGATAAAAGTCAGAGTGTTTCTATATCCAATAGAAGTAAAGAAAAATTCATATTCAGCACATGAAGTCCGATTACTTCGGGCACTATAAATCTGGCCTTACTCTAAATGAAATATTGATGTCTGCTTAAACTCAACTCTTTTTTTTTTTTTTTTTTTTTTTTTAGAAAATCTGTTACAAGATATCTAGTACAAACTGTAGAAAACCACACTCTTAAAAAATGCCGCTTGCTGGAAATACTGTAATTGATCATCAGTATATATGTTTTCAACTCTGGAGCCGTGTGTATACTTTTTTTTGTAACATTCGATTACATTTCCAAACAGGCATATCAAGAAACACGATGCGTAAAAGGTATCCAGGCATAACGTATAAAACATGACGAAATAATTGCGTTAAATCCTTCTAAAAATACGTGATAAAAAAGCTGGATGTAAGGTGCCCTTTTATACTGGTCGAGCGATTTTAGATAGCACGAAAAAACAAGAAGCGATAAACTTATGCTTCACATCGCAACTACTCTAATATGCACAAAACATTTACCAGCATATTTAAAAAACAGTAAGTTAACTGATCACCTTTCTGTTGTAACGTTTTTTTTTTTTTAACAAAATCTTCATTTTTGTAAACAATCAGCCTATTTCTGCGTTTACAGATACTTCAGCGTTAATTTACAAAAAAACAAAAAAAGATCATTTACATTTGACAATTGACAACAAAGTTCGACATCTTTCGAGTGAGCAAGCAAGCCACTGCATGACAGTATCACGTCGCCGTCTGATTCACAAGTTTACAGCATCAATAAATAGTGAATTATTTTTACGTCATGCTGCGGGTTGTTCAAAAACAAAAAGCAAATTTCATCCCAGGTAAACGCAACACTATGTCATTAGTAGACATTTCCGAACATGTTGCATACACCGAGACGAAGTGGGAAGAACCAGAAAATCATATCCAGGTAGTACACAGGAGTCTTGCGATGAACTAAGTCAATGATGTGTCAGGATGTTTAATGTCCATTAAACCGCAATATCTTATTTCATTACTTGAAGCTCGTGTATAGCTACAGATGCCCTCACACTATGTACACAGCGATAAGCATTTGCGCTCACTTACCAAAGGTACCAGTTTGTCCGTGAAGATGGATTCCACTACGCTCTTTCCTCTCGGCTTTCGAGGAGACAGGAGGATCTGATCGTCGTCGTCGGTCGCGATGAGGCGCCCGCTCCTTTCCCCTAATAAACACTAAATCCCAGCTCTTCCCCAGCACTCCGCGGACAGCTAGACTTCAGAAACACTCAGTGGTACCATTACGCACTCATCGATGGGGGGAAAAGGGGAAGTGGGTGGGGGGAGTGATGGGGGCTGTGAAGATGGAGAAGAATTAAGAAGGAATTAAGGCAATATAACTTGAATGCTGTACAAAAATGCAAGATTTATCTACGAATATATTATCAACAAGTAGGCTATGCAACAATTTAGGGAATCAGCAGTTATTCTGCTAAAAAGACGCTTCTTATTAAAAAGACCAAACACACACGTTGCACTTAGTAAAGTTTAAATCAGTAGCGCGACTCCATAAAGGAATGCGTTATTGTTTTATTAACAATTCTTTTTTGCCGGGGTATACATAAAAAAAAATCACCGTTGCCAAAAAAAGCTGCAAACGTCTGATTTGGTAACTAACGATGCTTTAATAAAACTGGTAAATTAGATAATGTTGTAAAGCAAAAAACATAAATCAACACAGAGAGATGGGTGTCAAAATGAAAGTCATTCAGCGTGCTCCGTGTAGCCAAGCTCTTCCTTCTACTTTGGAAGGAGACTTAACATTGAAATTTGATGAAAAGAAAATGTTGCTACTATTTTAAAGGATATTCATATTGGTCTGGACGTGAAACCCTATAGGTGACTGCATGCCATATCATATGCACAGGTCAGAGTTCATGGCCGTGTTTAAATACTATAAAGGAGCAGCTTCGAGCTGCGTGAATGGAAAGCCATGGTGTATCTGTTACCTAACTAGGATGTAGCACTGTTCTTATGCACCTGTGATTTGATTTACATAACACCAAAACTGGTATGCTGCTGTTCTTTTGTCATATGCTTCCATTTCTAAGTGTTGTGCCCACACGCAATTGTCGACGCTGCTTTCACTGGAATATAAATTATACAATTATATTCAATTATTTCCAGTGAGCCGAGACCACCAGTACAGTACGTAAAGAGCCGGAGCACTCTGACTTTGAGCGACGTCACACCGACAAATCGGGTGTTTAACAACGATATCACGCTACTACTTATTCACCTGTTAGTTACATCATACTGTAAGGCAGACTTACCCTATTGGATTAGTTTAATGGTTCAAAAGGTAAAATAATGTAATGCGCGCGCGTGGTGCGGTTGTCCCCTTTCAAATCAAAAGTCAGATCTGCGAAATATTCTAGACGGAAGCTTGTAAAAAAAAAAAGTCATACAACACAACCAATTTTATGTGTGTGTGTGTGTGTGTGTGTGTGTGTGTGTTCACTTAAATTAGTATGTATTCCAAAGTTTACCTCAAAGTAATTTTAAGTTGAATTTCATTTGGTGCAGCGTGAGACTGAGCGCACGCGCACTTCAGAGGTGGCAGAGCACATGCTGCCGCGAGCCAGAGGTCCCGGAGCTGAGCTCCGCCAAACTCCGGCACAAATTAAACACTTCCTGTTTGTCATTAACTCATTAACTGTTTGGACGCTCAAAAAAACCCTGCAGCTTTTCTTTAGTTACAAAGTCTATTCTATTCCCAAACTGCAATCTGAGCATAACTTCAGGTTTATGGATTTTTCTGTGTATACCTTCCTTTTAATGTATTCTGCCTATGATTTTAGATTATTAATGTCCTCTTTGAGTCCAGTCTAGGCCTACCTTAATCTGTTCTTTAAGTGTTGCATGTTTGTTTTTCACTGACAACTAATGGATCCACGATTGGATCTGTACTATAGGCCTACTGTCTGAAAAATTTACCATTTTATTGTGTTTCATTGCTTTTACTGTGGTTTTCCTACATGTCACAACATTACATTTAACTATTTCCTCACATGTATAATTTATGGCTTCCCCTTTTCTGTGCATCATTTATTGGGCGGAAAGCTTTTGATTCCGCCATCAAAGGGGACTGTATTTAAAATTAGTTTGTTATTTGTTGACTTTTACTGCGATGTTCAGAAGTCTGAGCCCTCTGCATGCCACATAAATGTATAAAATCAGTATGAATTTATAAGTGCATCATCCCTGGCTAACCTTCTCTGACAATGTCGTTGCTACAGATGGCAACTTAAGTTAGAAAGCAGATTAGAATATGAATCTTTCCTTTTTACTAAGAGTAGTATTTCAGTGTTGGAGATGCTTGAGAAATAGTTTGCTGAGCTATTTTCTAGCACAAATCCACATTTTTCTATCTGTATTTGTCACATTTCTAAATCCAGATTTTGAAGAGGTGGCACAGGTGCTTTCTTCCTGCACTGTTTTAAGGGATCTCTTTTAGCTGGTTTTAATAGAAATTCACCTTTAACATATTCGTAAGACACATTTACCTCATATGCATGGAACTGTAAAAAAGAAGTAGCAATTAATTAAAAAATAGAAATAATAAAAAGTTGTTCCAGCTTGCTGCTGAGAGCCTTGTTTTTGATGTCCCTGTAAATTCACACATCACTGCACTCAGACCTTGCTTCTGGTCAATTAGACAGTAACACAGGACAGACATACCTATAAGGCTACTTTACTTAATATTATCTGCTCTTTGTTACTTTCTGCACTAGCAATTGTTAAAGAGTCATTACCTCTTTGTTCTTTCTATATCACAAAACAGTGGTGAAGATGAGGGAGAGGAGCTTTGTTTCCTTTTCTATCAATAATAAAAAAAAAAATTGTGTAAAATATCTGCAATATCTGTTCTGTGAAAAACAAGAAGCAGACTTGCAGTAAGAGCCAAATGTTCCACTTAAATAGTCTGATGTTGACACTGGTGATGCCTGTTCCTCTGGACTCATGAATGTTGATTTACAATTTTAATCAAACTAATAACATCAGAGTCTGAGGGACAAGGTCACACATCACTGCCAAGACAAAGTTGTTGTCTTTCCAGCATGACCTGAACTGTGCAATACAGACTGAGCTTTTCATTTTGCTAAAAAAAGATTGAGAGTCATTATATTTGACTGCAATGACAAATTTGTTGGATTGTCCCTTAGTTTTCCTGATTGTAAGACCCCATTGTAAGAGTTGAGGGGTCTGCTGCAAATTGTTTTGAATCTTCTTCTCATTTGTTATACTTAAAGTTGTTTATTCTATATAGAGACAAATGTGAGGTTTAGGATAAAAATGGAACTGAAAAATCTTAAGACTAGGTGCCAGAGATGTAGAACACACAGCTTTGGCACTAACTAGGAAATGAAATGAAACCTCAAGCAAGAGGCTTATGAAACAGACCTGGATTGAGATCATTTAAAAATGGCTACAAGTAAAAGATCTGCTGGATGTGGACGGATGAGGGTTCGACAGCCTGTAACTCTTTTAACCCAACAGCTGGTAGCGATCATGTATAAAAAAATGCTCAGTTCTTCTTTTTAGAATGTGTAAGCCAAATGCAAATTTGAATAAAAATTACATCATCTGTAAATCTGAGCACCTGTTATAAATAATTCAAGTACCTGTATCTCCTGATTTGTTGTGGTTACCATAGCAACCGGTGATCGAAATTCTCTGCGGAAGGGTAAGAGTGTTAAACTGATATTGTTTACCAGCCCCCATCAAGGTGGCAGTTAATGCCACAGCAGATGCCCATTAGATTTGGTAGCTGGCTGTACCCCTATAGCTGGCTAACCAGCAGATTTAGACACGAGCCGTGAAACTCACGCTTAGCTCCCCGAATGTATGTGTCGCTTCTTCAAACAGAGAACAGCCTTTTCACAGCTTCTGTCATTGCCGTCAGAAATGGCAGCCACTCTTGATTTACCCATGGTGCTCAGGCACAGGTTGTGTCCAACAAAGTCGCTGGTGACATTTTTAAAAATCGGACCTAATCCAAACTCCTGTCACTGACTTATCTTTGTGTGGGTATATCAAGTGTACCTCTCGTGTATAACTGAGGGGTTGCACGCTCTAGATAAAAAGATAAAACTAAGATCAAAATAAGACAACAGAACAGCACAGAAGTCCACCGACAGTAAGAGTAGCCTGGACAAAATTTACAAAATTGTGAACTGATCAAACCTATTTCTAAGCATATTTCTGAAGAAAGAACCAAATCCATCAGCATCCTGCTTATGTTTTTCAAACTGCTCAGGTTTCTTTATATCTGCTATGAAAAATAATATTTACATGATGAGCTTTTACTCAGGACAGTAACCCAACTTTTTAATATTTTTTTTTGTAGAAGTTAAATCTTTGTTTTGTTCTAATTTTAGCAAACCTACAGCTTAAAATAACTCCAAAGTCTTTCTTTTTGAATTCAATATATCAAATGTTTAAACTTTTTTGAAATCGGAAATTTTTAAACATGAGAGATTTACTATGACTGATGACAGCCTGAACATAGGCCACATGTATGAATTTAAGTTTCACGTTATGGAGTATGTTAAAGACACTGGTTTCCTTGACAACAGAATTGATATGCAATCAATGTGTAATAACAAGCAATGGAAATAAGATCCCTTTAATAAGCAGCCTGCTGCAGCCTGGCGGGCTCACCTTTCAGAGTATTTTGTAAATCAGTTTAATCCCAAGAGTACATTTTCCTATTAGAAAGATAAATTGTGTATTTTTAATTGAAAATGTTACTACTCATGGTTGTCTGCTCAAATTCTCTAACAAATTAGTGATATATTAAACTTGGAATCATATATACACTTCCTGGATTACTTTAAGGAGCTCCAAAACCTGTTGTGGTCTTCCATCATCTAGTCTTCCACCTGCACCAATATTCATTTACCAGCATAGCAGCTGGATAGATCTGGGTTTTTCAGGGAAGCACTGTGCTAGAGAAGACAGTGGCAGGGTCCTCACTGAGCTGACTATGGTCAGTTTTGTAATATATATATACAGAGGGTCTGTTTTTTCCAAGCATGAAATTAAGTTAGCAGGAGAAAATGCTATCACTAACTATGCAGTATCATTTCAATCGATAGGAAAATATTGAATTTATATTGAGTCGATGGTCTGCTATTCTAGTTCTGGTGAGTTTTAATGTATCCAGGTATTCCAGCTCTCAGCAGGATTATCGTTTCACAAAATAAAGGCAGCGTTTGACTGTGGAATTAACAACGAAGGAAGTGTGTATGTAGGTGATTGATAAGGCTCAATTGGAACCAGGTGATTTGAATACTGGAACTGGAGTTGTTCAACCTGACAGATTGATTAACTTTTTTGTTTACTGATATCTATCCAAATTTAGTTATATATATACACAGTATTTAGCCTTTTAAAGTGTTAGACTGTCATAGCTACTTTCACGTGTTATGGGGACATTTGGTAAAACACAATATAATTAATTTGCACTACTACTGATCTCTTAGCGACACTCTTGCCTCCTGCGCTATACTTGGAAAAACTGGCAAAAATGTACAGCAGTACAAAAGTATTCATTCTTAAGATCACAGCTAAAACAAGATGGATACTTAGAAATGTGATTCTCAGAGACAATGTTGCCAGTTAAACATCATGAAGAATATTAATTGCTTTGGGAATGGCAGATTTAAGGAGCAAGACAGAACCATAACATTATGGATCATTTATCTAATGGCTAATAATCAT